GAGCCTACTACCTCATGGATCGAATCTGGACACCGAAGTTCGGTGGTTACAGAGACGTTGTCATGAATGAAGCCCACAAGGCAAAGTACTCCGTCAATCCTGGTTCGGATAAGATGTACCTGGAGCGCAAGAAACTTTATTGGAGGCCGAACATGAAAGCTGAGATCACTACCTACGTGGGCAAGTGCCTGACCTGCGCCATGGTCAAGGTAGAATACCAGAAGCCCTCGGATCTACTACAACAACCAGACATACCCGAGTGGAAATGGGAGCGGATAACCATGGACTTCATAACCAAGTTGCCCAAGACAACGGGCGGGCTTGACACCATTTGGGTGATCGTTAACAGGTTAACTAAATCTGCACACTTCCTGCCAATAAAGGAGACTGATAAGATGGAGAAGCTAACCAGGACGTACATAAAGGAGATTGTACGCTTACATGGCATGCCAATATCCATTATCTCCGACAGAGATAGTAGATTTACCTCACGATTTTGGCAGACACTTCAGAAGTCCTTGGGAACCAAACTCGATATGAGTACGGCTTACCATCCTCAAACTGACGGGCAAAGTGAGAGGACCATTCAGACACTAGAAGATATGCTAAGAGCTTATGTGATAGACTTTGGCAAGGCATGGGATACCCATTTGCCACTCATCGAGTTCTCATACAACAACAACTATCACTCTAGCATCAAGTTCGCTCCATTTGAAGCTCTATTTGGACGCAAATGCATATCACCTCTGTGTTGGGCTGAGGTGGGAGACACACAACTAGCAAGATGGCAAGTACCTGACAACACTATCACCGGTCCCGAGATCATCAGAGAGATAACCGAAAAGATCGTCCAAATTCGGGAACGACTAAAGGCATCTACGGACCGACAAAAGAGCTACGCGGATAAACGACAGAAACCCTTGGAATTCCAAGTCGACGACCGCGTGATGTTAAAGCTCTCGCCCTGGAAAGGAAAGATATCCTTTGGGAAGCGTGGAAAATTGAATCCGAGGTACATTGGGCCCTTCGAGATCCTTGCCAGGATCGGTTTAGTGGCTTATAAACTTTGGTTACTGCAAGAACTCAGCAACATACATCCCACTTTCCATGTGTCAAATCTGAAGAAATGCCTATCTGACGAAACTCTCGTCATCCCTCTTGATGAGATTGAAGTAAACGAGAATCTCCACTTCATCGAGGAGCCTGTAGAAATAATGGACAAGGAAGTCAAGAGGACGAATCAGAGCCGCATACCCATAGTGAAGGTCCACTGGAACGCCAAACGGGGACCCGAATTCACTTAGGAGCGAGAAGATCAAATGAAACAAAAGTACCCACAACTCTTCCTCTAGTTGCAAGAACCCGTCCAAGATGCAAATTTCAGGACGAAAATCCCTCTAACGGGGGGATGATGTGACAACTAGAAAATTTTGAGTCAAGCCAAGTCTAAGGAGTCTTGTGTATGAGTGTACCCACAACGTGTGTATATATATATATATATATATACATATATATATATATATATATATATATATGTAACTTTGATGCAATAAGAATCATTGAGAGCCAAGAAGGCATCATTTGTATGATTAAAAATATATACATGTTGAAAATCATGTTTGTAGTAAACACTTAAAGGTCAAGCAAGCCAAATAATTGGTACAAATCATGGATATAAAACTTTGCTTTATAGTTTAAGCCTAGTACCCCACAAAGCTAGGGATTTCGGCCCTCCTAAGACCGAAATCACCTCCCAATAGAAAGCACCAAACCGAAAACCTCATAAGGGGATAGTGTAGGACCGAAAACACCCAAGGTCCAAACCTCCAGACCGAAAACATCCAATATCCAAGCCACTAGGACCGAAAACTCCTTATGTGAGGGAGTTAGGACCGAAATCACAATGGGAATAGGGTGATTTCGGTCATGCATGGCCGAAAACACAAAGTTGATACCCTCCCAAGGTGATTTCGGTGGATAAAGAAAAGATAAGGTGTTGACTTGTGACTTGATGGTTATCCTCCTTTCCAATAGCATGTATCTATGCCAATATCTAATAGTTAACTATGCAAACTTCACTTCACCCTTTCCCCCTTTAAACACGGAAGGAAGCATCCACACATCCCACCATTTTCCATTCTACTTTCCATTAACTTCCTTTTCTCTCAAGAACCAAGACCAAACAATCTTCCAAGTTCAAATCCGCCAAGCAATTATTCTTAGATTTTTGGTAAGTATCCGTTCAAATCTAGTGTATTTATACACTTTTATGTTAGTTTCCATGTATTCACACACATATTATTATGTGTTAAACCCTTAGGATAATAACATTTCCAAGAAGTTCATCAACTCCATTCAAGTGTTTAGGCTTCGAATCTTCTCACCATCTTCTCAAACAACCCACAAAACCACTCAAACTGAGTTTATACCCCCAATTTTTCGAGATTTTCATGTTTTAGGGGGGGGGGGGGAAGGGATACAAGTCCAAAATTGGTTTATTACACAAATACTTGCATGTTTTATCTTTATGTTGAAGTATAAGCCATTATTTGCTCAAGTTATGATTATCACTAGTTTTGTACAGATTGTGATATATTAGTTTTGATATGCAAAGCTAACAAAAACAAAACTTATTATATGTTATAAAAGTCATAAGAAAAAGTATGATTTGTAAAACTACAAGGTTTTGGAAACTTTTACTAAAAGATAGCTTTTCTAACAAAACGGGTTATACTATAGTTATTTACTATTTTGGTAGGTTACAACCCAAGGATATCATGTTTTGATTACATATTTTGTCACTAGACAAGGTAACAACTTTATATTTATATAAAATATTATATAAATAGTCTCAACAAACAAACAAGATAAACTATAATTGGTATAGTTTCGGAGTCACAAAACCACACGATCATTTCAGAGGAAACATATAATTATTTAAAGGTATAATTATTTCATTTACAAGAAAAAAGAGTCTTAGTTCATGTAAATCTGTTGATACAAGATTGTGAGACAGCTGACTTCACCTAACCTACCAGGGTACACATACTAAGACCTGCATTATAACCAGAGTCTATTAGAGGGAGAGCGTGACACTTGTGTATAGATCTATATGGGATTGACAACCCCACACCTAAACTGTTAGCTACAGTTAGACCGGCAGGTCTGGGGTGACAAATGTCGAAAATAGTTTCGTCGTCTGAAGCGCTTCGTTCAGGCAACTAGTCGCAGTAGTATGGTTATAATAACTCAAATAGGGTATTGACAAAACCGCTTGGTTTATGGGGTAACTTACGCTTCAATAGTTTTATAAAAAGATAAAACTACATACTATTTTTCAGTACAACATTACTTACATTTTTGGTCTTAGGGTTTAAGACTACAGTTCATATTTAAGAAAATATTGGATTTTCTGGACACATACACTATCATTTTACAAGGAAAAGATACTAAAGAAATATTTACATTTTTGTCTTAGGGTTAAGACCTACAGCTCGTTTTAAGGAAAATATCGGATTTTCTAGAAGTATACACAATCATTTTACGCGAAACTGTTACAAATCCGTCTTATACAAAATGCTTATGAACTCACCGACTTAATTGTTGACACTTTTCAAAATCACTTGTATTCTCAGGAAACTAGTAAACAGGTATTCAAAACATTTTGAGGGCAAGCGTCGCCGCATCATGAATTCTACTTTTCAGTTATTTTGTATGTAACGTTTGAACAAACAATGTTTGGAAACAATGCAAACTTGTAATCTCAATGTATGATCTTGTGTTGATATGTTTTATTTATATTCAATTGTTATGATATTGTACATGAAGTCATCCAGCCACCCCAGACGTTTCCGCCGTTATAGTTTTGGTGGTGTGACAACAGAAATCCAAATGATTTCCCCTACAATGATTAAGGTTTTCCTTTTCCCCCATATCAATCTAGGTAAATCTCTGTCTACACAACATAAACATAACTAACCTCTTACCAATAACTATAAATTCTTGACCTATGGAGAAGAGGCGATCAATTGAAAGGTGAGGTTTCAAAAACAGAATTCTTGACCTATGGAGAAGAAACGATCGATTGAGAGGTGAGGTTTCAAAAATAGAATTTAAACAAAAATCAGAAAACATAAAGCTACAAAATCGAAATTGACCACTAATAAATCGTTTTTTGATTGTGGATGGAGGAGAGACTGTTATTATCTAAATTAGGAGAGATACACCGAAGGGATTTGATTCAAGATTTCTTGCTATTAGATTGATGATTCGAGGAAAATTAGGAAATTTTTTTTGATAATAGAAAATTACACGTTATTTTTATTTATATTTGAAAGTAAAATCATAGAAAATTACACATGTCATTTTTAGAGAATAGGAGAAAGGAAAATCAAAATTATGAGAAAATGACATATGACATAGAGTAACTATTCTTTTATTAAGGATGATAGAAGATAGATGATGATATATATATCTATATATATATATATATATATATATATATATATATATATATATATATATAACATTTATCCAACCTATTTTCTAATTTATATTTAACCTTTCATATACTTTTCAAAATATGTGCCTAAATCTTTCCTTTTTAGTATTTTATTATGATTTTAAATTCTCATTTTTAACAATTAACTATTATACCCCATTGATAAATATAAGTTTATATCCTTCATGAACTTTCATAATATCATATTGACCAAAATTACTATTTTGATGAATCTTTAATAAGCTAAAAACTATAAATAACTAAATAGTTAATTTCTATTAAAACAATTTCGCACTCTCATCGCTTCTATTTTCATCCTTAAAGCTTGGAAGAGGTAAAAATCAAAATCTTTCTTTAAGAAAGAGTCAAACCAAAGTTCTCGTATTCGATGATAAAGAAAAACCACACAAAACACAATCAATGGACATTGTCTTTCAAAGAAAAATAGCATAACGAACAAAAACATATAAAAGGGACCAATTATTTGCAAGAACTTCTTTCACATAGAGCCTAATACTGCCCGGGTAACACGAGATTTTCTATTCTTTCGACGTCCCCTGAAATACATATTATTATTAGCATTGATATCATTTTTATGAAATAAAACAAAGGAAATGGAAAAGATGAGTAACCTTTTAGAGGTGGACGTTTTACTTAGATCCGAACCTTGAGGTGCGAGATTCTTGCATGGTTTTTCAAGGTGTATGTACTTACCACATCGCCGATACTTGTGCCTTCTTTTAGACTTATCTGTTAGTTTAATTCTATTAAAAGAAATATTTTGATCTTTACCTCTTTCAAGATTCAATGATGAAAATAGAAGTGACGAGAGTGCATAATTACTTGAATAGGATTTAATTATTTAGATATCTATAGTAATCAATTGTTAAAAACAATTAATTGTAAAATATGTTAAAAATGCTTCAACTACAAAAGGTATAGATTATATTTTATATTTAGATTTATAAACATGATATTTTTGATGTTTAATAAAAGCATACACAAAATTCTCCTTTATTTTAATGTGGCCTCTTAACTTTCTTTTGTAGGATATTAATTGCTTTCCTTTTTTTTAGATTAGAATATTTGTGAAATGTTTAACCAAAACGTATCATTGACAGTGATAAGAAAAAAAAGTGAAAACCCAACATACATATCGCACGAGGTGTCGACATAGCAGGAGAAGCTTCAATAGTGGTGTTGTTACCAGCCAAAAAGTGTGATTCCACATTTACTATCTGCAAGAATCACAGGTAGAATGTAAATCAGGATTGTATTACATCATTGTACTTTCATAAAACTATCAATTACAAAAAAAAAAAAAAAAAAAAAAAAGCAATGTACTTTCATTCATTTGGTTACTATAGCATCATACTTTCAAGTTTGTGAAATAAGGATTTTGGATTTATGCAATTGGTGTAAACACTTCAATATGAGCATTTATGGCATAAGTGACATGTTATATCTACTTTTTTGTTGCTTATTTATTTTGTACTCTTAATAAGCCAACATGGAAAAGTCAAGCATTTGTACCAAGAAAGAAGGAAGTAAGGTATGCAAGATTAAACTTATTTAACAAATTCTCATTTCTCTGATCAATGTATTTCACTCTTTCTTATTTTTCAAAAAATTTATTGATACTCGTTGACCTTAGGGGCAAGCATTTGGACCCCAGACCGGGAATCGGACCTCATAAACCTCAACATGTCCGGTCCAAGCTCCACAAATTTCTGCAAAATAGGTCTGGTCCAAGATTAGACCCGATCTGATCTGGCCCAAATGCTCACCATTACATCCAAGACCGGAAACCGGACTTGGACCACCTGGTAAGCCTCAATCCTCAACAAGTTCAGTCGAAGGTCCACCAATTTCTGCAAAACCGGTCCGATCCGGTCAAAATGCTCACCCCTAATTGAACTTATGTAGGTAATACAAGAATTAAGTGGGATGATTCTCACAAGTGCCCCCAAGCTTTGGAGTTTGGACAAGTGTAGAGGATTTAAAGTCGCGCATAAATGGTATCACTTAAAATTAGTACCATGTTTACATTTTAAAGAATCTTTATTGGTTGTTTTTTTGCGACCTTTATAATTTACTTATTAGATATGCCAAAAAAAGAAAAGAAATAGCAACATACTTTAATTGGTTTTTTATTATAGTATCACACTCTTAATATTTTACTTGTACAACATCATCTTTCATAAAGCTATCAATTTCAGCAAGAAATAGAAATGTATTTTCATCGGTTGTTATCTATAGCATCATACTTTCAAATTTATGAAATCAGGGATTTCGATTTTTGCAATTGGTGTAAATGTATAGATATGAGCATTTTCAGGTTTTAGTTCGTTTTTCATTGTTGTGTAGTTCTTCTTGCCTAATTTGAAGAGCTTCTGGCAAATATTACCGTGTAAGTATTTTACTTCTAATATAATTTTAATCATGAATGTTATTTTAGAGTTTTATTTACACATTTTGATGCCTTAAAAAGGAAAAATGTACTTGGTTTAATGATTTACACTTACATTTTCCCCAGTTGTGCTCATGGAAGACGCAAGAGGTGGAGACCGAGTAAGAGTGGTGGTCTCGCTTATAGGAGGTGTCATGGGTGTGTTGTTGTAACCATCCACAAAGTGCGGTTCCACAATGATTATCTGCAAAGATTCACAGGTTTTTAAAATGTTGTTTTCTTCTCCTAATTGTAGAAAATGAAGGAGATCAAGAATGTATTATGATAGGGACACTTACTTTTCTCTCTGCTTTCCAAATTTCAAACATAGGTTTTAGAAAAATTCCTTCTGCCCCCTCATATTCTCCTCCTACCACTCTAACTTCTTCCCCATAATGGAAACTCTGCAGAATCATCAGAAAGAAGTTAGCCCTAGGGAAAATAGCATACTGCTATTGTGAAACTATCAACCATTGATGTGAATGATGTGCTTAAAGCCAGTGTCATATGTTAATAAATTGAAGAATATAGAAAATAAAGGTTTGAGCAAGCTGCCATGGATACTCTTAAAAACAGGAAGAAACACAATCCGCCATGGCTGTTAATCGGGAATTTGCTCTGGGTATTTAAAAAAAAAAGACTTAATGGAATCAAGCAGGATTAGGTTTTAACTAAGAACTGAAACAATGAAAAGCAGCACAGAATAGAGAGATAAATACATTAAAATAAGACATCGAGAGTCTTTGATGATCTTGTGCTGTAAAATCGAGAAAGCAAGCAATGAGATATCGCTACCCTTAGAGCCGAAACCCTAAAAACTAATATTTTATACCACTTTTATTTTCACGACTGATTATATGTTGTATTTATTGCCCTTCTCTAGGTAAAAAAATATTAATAATAAAAAGTCAGAAAAAATACCAATAAAAATTGGGAAAATGACACAAAGTTATTAGCTTTTCATTTTTTTGTGATTTTGACACCGTATTTTTTTCTATTACATTTAAGTCATAATAATTTTAATTTCTTGCATTCTGACCGGTTAACCGGCTTTCTTCGGATCACACGTTTACCATTGCTGGAATGGCATGATGATGTGTCAGATGCGAAAAAGGCGTTTAAAAGGCGCTTTGCGGTTTTTCGATTTTCTGACTTTCTCTCGAATAGCAGCTTACTTTATGAACGGCCATAACTTTCTCACACAAATTATGATTTGACGAACTTTATATCCACAGAATCTTCCCAGAAGAACTACAACTTTCTTTTTATAATAATTCACTAGTAACCTTTACTTTTTATGTTAATCGTTGGCTTAAGAAGCAACAATTTCCAGTCGTTACAATTTTCACCACCTAAAATAATTTCTTAGATTCCCAATCAAAGATGATCCTAGGTCGGTTATCTTGTTATAATTATATAGTTTACTATCTTCCTTGCATCTATACTTAGATAATTAAATTCTTTTCTTAAACTTCTCCATAATGAGTGTCAAGGTATCTCTACTTCAGTTCTTACTTTATCAGGCTTATCTGTTATTTAAAACATTTACACTTATTCATTTCCTTCTTAGACTTTATGTCCAGCTTCCATTCTATTAATCATACTTTTATCTTATGAGTACTTTGGGCTTTAACCCCCTTGTATGTCCACTATGTACTGTCGTCTTTAACTATAATCCTTACATTCTCTTCACCAATCCTTTCATAGGAATGATGATCAACTTATCTTATCTTAAGATCATACCTTCCACAAGGAAGTCATTCTTTCAATTTGCATAACATGTATTCCTACATGTTGTGCTTGTCGCTCGTTCGATTCATACCTTAAATCTCTTGGCTTGTTATTTTACCTTTAGCGTAGGTGCCTACTGTGAGCGCTTTGGACTTAGGGCTCAACATTCACATTACGATCTTTTACAGACCATTCTACAAACGAATATATATCGATTGCTAACAAGACCAACAACTCGTCTTCTTCCTGTTTTCATGACCATTTCTTCAATCCTATCTTTTAATTTCACGACATAAATATTTTGACCATTTCTTTTCCTTGAATTGAAATCTCCATTTCGATCCTAATCGAATCGGTTAAATTCTTTTCTCACATTAAGTGACATAGCTGTCACTAATACTAACTTCAGGTTGGCATGTTTAATTACTTCTTATTTCTTTCAAGTTATCCCTTTAATTCTCAAGGTCTTATAGAGTTCTTTCCTCTCATGCTCTTACGCAACACTTATTTTCTTGATCTCCATAATCTTAATCGTCCCTTATTAGGATTTAGTACCACCAAAACTTAAGGAGATCTCCTTAAGTTTTGGTGGTACTAAATCCTAATAAGGGACGATTAAGATTATGGAGATCAAGAAAATAAGTGTTGCGTAAGAGCATGAGAGGAAAGAACTCTATAAGACCTTGAGAATTAAAGGGATAACTTGAAAGAAATAAGAAGTAATTAAACATGCCAACCTAAAGTTAGTATTAGTGACAGCTATGTCACTTAATGTGAGAAAAGAATTTAACCGATTCGATTAGGATCGAAATGGAGATTTCAATTCAAGGAAAAGAAATGGTCAGAACCCGGTTTCTTATGGGCGAGTCATATATGAAAATAGTAATAAAACCCGGTTTTATAACCAGGCCTTCCCGGTTCTTATAAACAAAATCGGGTCCTTTCATGGTAAAGAGAATCACTTTTGTTTGTTCATGTAGCCCAGTTCTTTAGAATACAACCGGATCCTTTTCTGATTATTCGTCCCTCGTTCAAGTGTCAAATTGCTCGTTTAGTCCCTATTTTCAAAAATTAACTCGGACCGTCCCTTATATCGTTAAAAATTGCACGTTTCGTCCCTTAAATCACTTACCAGACTTAAAATGTCTATTTTGCCCTTATTCTTTTATTTTTTATTTATTTTTAGATTGTTATTATTATTAATTATAATTTTAAAGAAATCATTAAATAATTGGGCCCCACCTTCTTATATCCTTCTTCTTCTTCTTTTCTTTCATGAACCACCACCCCACCACCCACCTGCATCACCGCTGGTGCTCCACCACCACTACATCACCGTCGGTGCTTCACCACCACTACATCACCGCCGGTGCTCCACCACCACCACATCACCGTTGTTCCGCAGCCAATAAAGACACCATCTGGCGCTGTTCCCCTCTTTCTCACCCACTTCCGACAGGAATCCAAAACCCTAGCCAACCAACGACGTCGTCGGCCTTCCTTTCCTGCCTCCTTCACCCCAAAACGTCGACGATACCACCTCCGACCTCCTTCACCTGTATCGTCACTAAACATCGCCTCAGATCTGCAAGTAATCGTCGCCTCCAAGCCTTTGTACACTAGGGTTTCGTCACATTGACGACGCCATCTCCGTCGGCTAGGGTTTGGATCTCATCAGTAATGGATCTGTTGAAACCACATGTAATAGCCGTCCATCTCCACCAGATCTATTGGGTTACCACCGGATACGTTGGATTGTACATTAGTGAAGATGAATTTAGGTGAAAAGGATGAAGCCACCTCCGACAACCACCACCTGGAGTCTGGATTTGCGAACAGGTGACAATGGCAGGGTAGCGATGGTGGCTCTATCTTCGTCTCTCTTGCTCTCTCTTTATCTATATTGCATCAGTAAACACAAAAAATGTGTGTTTGTGTTCCTCTGCTCCACCTGGTGGTTTCTACAGGTGTTCGACGGTGGTGGCTTAAGGACTAACCGGGAAGAAGAACGAGGGAAGAAAGGGTAGTCGACGGTGTTTCTGAGATAAAAAGAGGCGGTGGTGTTGCGCGGTGGTCCAACAGTGTTGCACTGTGGTCCGATGGTGTTTCTGAGATAAGAAGAAAGGGTAGTCGACGGTGTTTCTGAGATAAGAAGAAAGGGTAGTCGACGGTGTTTCTGATGAGTGTTTGTATTGGTGGGTCCTTTTTTGTTTTTCTTTATTTTTTTATTTTTCTTTTAAATTTTTAATAACAAACAAATCAAAAATATATCAAAAAAGAAAGAGAAATGGTAAAATAGTCATTTTATGTTCGTAAGGGACCGTCCGAGTGAGAAACAAACATTACAAGGATGATCCGAGTTAATTTTTGAAAATAGGGACTAAACGAGCAATTTGACACTTGGACGAGGGACGAATCGTGTAATTTACTCTTAAAACTTTTAGTATTTTTTATAAAATTTGTAATCCCAATGCACTTTGCTTATGATTTACTACTACAAACAGGAGCACTTTTGTGTGATTATCACTCTCATAATTCTCATTCATCATTACTACTAAATGCTAAAATAACCCATTTTTGCAACAAGCTAGGTTTGTTGCAACCCTTAGTCCTTCAACATTTAAGTAAATAATTGCAAATGAAAAATGACTTTTTATATAAAAACAAGAGTATAAAAAATACATACATTACAACCTTTAGGGCATCTCCAACCCATCCCCAAACTCCATTTTTCACCCCATTTCTTCCCCATTCTTCTCTAACCCTACCCTATTTTCACCACCATTTTTGGAGATATGAATAGTATTCCCTCATATATGGGGGAATACTATTCATATCTCCAAAAATGGAGGTGAATTTTGGCTGTCAATTTTAGTCCCTCTAATTTTTATTTTATATATTTCTAGTTTATTTTTTTACTAATTATAATTTAAATGCAATATTTAATATTTATAATATCATGTTATATACTAATTTATATTAATTAATCATAAATATAGAGTTTAATTAGTAGAGGGGTGTATTTGACAATATATATAAGTTATAAAAATTGAATATTCTAGGAATATACTTTTTGGGGTAAAAAATAGAGTAGAAAATGGAGTAGGGTTGGAGATGAAACACCGTTTACTCCATTTTTTACTCCATTTATGAGGGAAAAAAATAGAGATGAGTTGGAGATGGTCTTAGTCCTTAAACACCATCATCCTAAGTGCAGGTACATCACTCCCCAAATGTTTATCAGATTCAAATATAATTTTGGTAATCACAAAAACACAAGGACATATCAGATTCTTAAAACTTATCAGCACTCATAATCAATGCTAGCAGCCTCTATCTTTTTATGCCTTTTTGGTGCCTTTTCAAATTTCCATCTACCAACTTTCCTTGAGACCTTTACTGCAATAAAACGATGACCATGAGGTTCATAAGATTCCATGTCTGTAGCCACTTATCGGGCTGAAAAGAAAACTAGGATGGTACATCAATAAAAATAGGCCAAATATATTGAAAAACTAAACCAACTGTGGACACTACTATCTACTCTACTGGAAAGAAAATAGAAGTAGGATGCAATATTGAATAACTAAACCAAAATATAAATTGGAAAAAATAAAGTTACAACAAATATATTGAAAAAAAATAAGAAAAAATAAATAGAAGTGAGAAGCTACACTGGACACCACTGAAAGTGGAAGCCTAACAAAAAACATACCAATATACCAATCCGATTCTTTCCTAAAAGAATGCAGGGAAAATCTTGTCAAAGGATTGCTACAAAAAAAATGTCATGAGTTTGTTAAGACGGAAAATAAAAGTAGGGAATCATAAACAAATATTAATCCATGAGTAAAACAAAGCAATTACTCAATCAACTTACAATATTTATATTTGTTTCCTTGAGGACCATAAATGATCAACCTTATTCCCATAAGATTTGGGACTCTTACGCATTGTAAAAAACAAAAAACTAATTAGTAGGCCACACATGTTTTTCTAATAA